ATGAAGTAGGAGCTAGGGTGTAGATTATATTCGAAAGAGAGAAAGAGAATCAGGGAAAGAGAGAGAGAAAAGAATGACACAGGAATAGAATGAAACATAGAAAGAGAGAGCAAAGAGAGAATGTAGGCGAGATAAGAGGGAAAGAGAGAATGTAGGCGAGATAAGAGGGAAAGAGAGAATGTAGGCGAGAAAAGAGAGAAAATGAGAGAGATGGAAAGAGAGAGAGAGGACGGCGAAAGAAGGTGAGAGAGAGAGAAAGAGGGAAGGAGAGAGGCAAGAGAAAGCGAAAGAATGAGAACGAAAGAGAGAGAGAGAGAGAGAGAGAGAAAAGAGAGAGAGAGAAAAGAGAGAGAGAGAAAAGAGAGAGAGAGAAAAGAGAGAGAGAAAGAGTGAGTGAAAGAGGGAGATGGAAAGAAGGAGTAAGAAAGACAGAGAATAGAAAAGAGAGAAAGAGTGAAAGATAGATAGATAGATAGATAGATAGATAGAGAGAGAGAGAGAGAGAGAGAGAGAGAGACAAAGAAGAGAAAAAGTGTTTTTGCGTGTATGAAGAAGATAAATTTAGTAAAATTGGTAAATATAAGTGTACATTTTTGGACATCTACACATACCTACACATATAATTTATGGATGGCTTTATAATCATTCAAAATTTCTCGGCAATCTGGAGTCATTGATAATTTTTAAAGTAATGTAAAGATCAATGATAAGACAGTCAAATGTCATTAGATATGTAGACAGATATATAGATAAACAGAGAGACAGAAATAAACTGATATTGATGCCTGAATAAAATAAAAAAAATCAATCAAGAAATAATTGATGAGAAAGAGGTAAGCTATATTAGATACAAGATCGTATAGTTCAATAAAAAAAATGTTCGAACGAATAGACGTGTCTTTTTTTTTTTTTATCATTTCACGCCAAGCAGGGCAATACAGCGACTAAAACGCAATGCGTTACTGAGCATGTAAGAATATGAGAAAAAACTGTAAAGAGAGAAAACAATTAAAGAACAAGAATTAAGAAGACAGAAGATAACGATTGACACTGAATTTAAGTTTTGAACATTAAGGTTTACCGGACACCAAGAAGCCAGAAGAGAGTTCCACAAGCGAGAACTGCGATAGAAAAAAAAAAAACAAACCTGTTAGCAACGACTTCACGGTAACATCTAGCTATTTCAATTGGAAACTGCCGAGACCTTGCCGCCAATCGAGTACTGCGCTTAAATTCATAAAATCTAGGTACCATAGAGGAAAGTTTACCAGAACAATTACTATGAAAGTATAGATAGAAAAGGCACATAGAAGCTACGTTGACAAGATGCCAGGTTCGAGCCAATAACTTTCTTCTTTCGAATTTATCATGGATGCCTAAATATATAGCAGAAGAACTAGACCAGACGTAGCGGTAATATTCAAAACATGGACGAATGGTAGATTTATAAATATGTAAGATAATTTCGGGCGCGAAAATTGTCTAGTGATCCAACTTTCCGAGCGGCCGGCCTAGCAAATGATTCAATATAATCTGACCATTTCATGTCATCGGAAAACGTTTCATGAAACTTCTGATTTGTCCTGTTGCCTTTTATCTGGACTTGATTCTGAAAGCAAAAAAATTGCAAAAGAAATGTGCATAAGAGAATAAATACGAAGATAGTTTTCGTTAATTTTGGACCGGTTTAACTGGACAAATATTTATAAGAGGGCTTCACTTGATTTGTTTGTTTAATGGCGTATCGACACCATATGGGTCATTTAATACCGAAATTAAATTTCCGTGTGAGTTTTAAAGTAATAAAAATATGATATATGTTATTTTGCTTTCCCAGTTGAAAACATGGTAGATAAAACTCAGATTTTGTGTATATACATGTTTGTATGAACATGATTACTATAGGCGGTGAAATGTGAGGTTTTTTGAAGTTATATTTTGGAATGCAGTTTGATTTCTTTAAGAAATTGTAGGATATTATATGGATTAATGTCATGAAAGAGTTCTTTCATGTTGGTTGTTTGATTGATCGATTTTTTTAGTGGTATATCAACCTGTAAAGATTACTTAATACCGAAATCTAAATATTTTGAAGACAATTTGAAGGCTTCATCTAAATATATTTTGAACGCAATTGTATAAAATGTATTGCTGGTCATGTTTCTTTAAAAAGACACATGGCACAGTGGATAAAGGCGTTAGTTAGATCCAGTGACACGACCCAAAAGAGTGTGAGTTTAATACCCGGTTAAGGCAGTGGAGAAATTGGAGAGGGGAAATAACAGATAACTGACATCCATTAAACATGGTACGTGGAACTAGAACAGTCTACCCCTGTGAGCGAAATAAAGGGTTCAGTTCGACATTCCAACCACCTGAAGAAGGCCGGAGCGTACAACGGCCGAAACGTAATAAAATATGGCGACAAAGATGAGGACAATAGTCCGAATAATGAAAAGAGTGTACATAATACCTCATCTCAGAAATATAGATAGATAAAAATATATTGTTAGTAATTTTAGTATAAATATGTACTATTAGAAGTTTTTATATAAATATGTATTTTTATACTTTCATGGTGTTTTGATTTTGTTGTGGGGGTTTATTATTTGCACATAGCTGGGACCTTAACAGGTACTACCACCTCGCGTCAAATAGACCTTGGAATAACATCAGTTAAGATGGTTCTATGCTCCTCAAAACATCCAATCCCCGATCAGAAGTTTTGCTGCCGGATGTAGTTTGTCGTCATATCCAGGACTATAGCAATAAAAAGAGAATGACATTAATACTATTTATGGTGGCATAAAAGAAACACAGCCAATGCTATCTAAGTTCAGAAAACAACCATAAGTAATCTACATCTTATGTAAATGCATCATAACAATACAATCGATAGAGTAGGAACAGCGATATTATGGGAATTGTTCAAATAACGTGACTTGACCATATAGACAAATGATATAAATGCAAATCAGTAGAGAAAATAAAACAAAGCAAACTATCCTGGGAATTTCAGTTTAAATCAAACTACTTCACCAAAATTAGATCAGACGTTATGGTTATAAACAAGGAAAAGAAATCCAAAGCTTTGTAAATGCAGCTGTACCAGCAAGGTGGAAAACGATAATGCAAAAATGAAAAGAAAAAAAATATCACACCAGGACATTGCTCGAGAATAGAAGAAGCTGCGGGGAATTAATGGCTTCCTAGGAGTTATTTGTCATATCTCTAACGACGAGATTAGAAGGATTAAGGAATATCCGTGAGACGGTGGTGATGGCATTTTTAAGAATACTGAAGAAAATACTGTTTAATTGAGAGAACTTGATACCGATTAATTCGAAGCGAGGGCAATCTCAGATTTCTTGAGAGAACATGCAGATAATAATAATAATGATAATAATAATAATAATAATAATAATAATAATAATAATAATGATAAGACATTCTCAGCATCTCGGAGCTACAAAAGATCACTTTGTGAGGAACTGCACATATCATCCGCAAAAAACCCTGTCCATTGAAAGGAGACGTCCCAAATGTGTATAGATAAGTCAACTACAGTAACCATCTTACTCATAGAACCTGGAGGAGACTTGGTAATTAGACACTTAAAATTACTCTCTGTTAAGATTATGCCACAAATAATAATAATAATAATAATAATAATAATAATAATAATAAATTGAAATCTCAAAAATGTGGCACATGGGAACAGCAACAATCCCTGTTGTAGTGGCAGCCCTAGGGTTGGTTGGAAAAGATTCCAGTGGACTAATTGAAGCGATTCCTGGAAGCCCATGCCTCAAAGAAATACAAAAAATTGTTCTTACAAGTACAGCCCACACTTTATGAAGGGCTTTATCTATACAAAATATGAGTGTGTGTATGTGTGTGTTTTTGTCAGTGGAAAGTGTCTTGAAGTGTCAGTCGAGTCAGTACTTTCTGAGCGACTTGTTCGGTTAAACTCTCTTCCTACGGACGGGAGGAACCTTACAGGTCCTGTTTGTAACTGGCTCTGAGTTGTGTTCATACCAATTTCTTGCAATTTCCTTCCTATTTTTTAGGGAAGATATTGTCCCACCCAGTCATACCGAGTTTTATATTGAATGGATGCTAATACCGTGCAGCCTGATACAAGATTTTTTTTGGGGGGGAATATTCATCACACACTCTGTATTTGGGGTGAGCACAATTGTTCAGTATATTTGTTTGGTAACATCTTGGTTGCATGCATTGGTCCCGTGTAGCAACACATAAATTTTTGGTTTCAGCTTTTAATCTTGCTAAACGTACCGTATGTCTACATCAGCTTTCTTAGCTACAAGGTCTGTCTACACCAGCTTCATTGACCGCGAAGAGGTTTATCTGGCCATCTTTTCTGCATTTGGTCAATTTAATTTGCTTTTGTCTTTATTTTGAGGTTCTTTGTTGCTGCAGTAGGTGCATTATGGCTTACTTGCTTTTTTTTTTCATCCACTTGAAATTCTCTTCTGAATTTGTTGGCTTCTTTTATTACTGGATAACGTTTCTTATTTCTTTGATACAGATCATTAGCCAATTGTAGTTTCTAGATATCTTTGAAGACCGATTGTTATAGTTTTGTGAGAAAGTTCTACTTGAATTAATTCTATGCCTTCTTCGGGTCTGGACACATAAATACGATCAACATCAGCCTTAGGATGATGCATACTGTGGCAAGTAAGATGCTTTCTCGATTTGACATCCATTCGCTTAATGGCAGGTCTTACGGCCACATAACTTTGAAACGTCGATTTCCTTACGATCACCGAAGTTAAGCAATATTGAGCCTAGTCAGTACCTAGATGGCGACCGTTTTGATAAATGAAAGCTGTAAGTTTCGATATGCGAATGGTCTAATGAATAATGACTCGGTATTGTTAATCGGAGAGCCGAGAAATAAGTTAAGTTGGGTTTTGAAAGGCTGAGAAATACAGACTTAGAGACGGAGAAAAAAGTTATGACTGCTACATCATGTTGAAACACCACCTCTCTTATGATCACGGAAGTTAAGCAACGTCGAGCATGGTCAGTACCGAGATGGATGACCGATTGGGAAGCTTTCTGCAATCTTGGATGTATGAGTGGTGCAATGGCTAACGGTTCGGAATTGCTCATCGGAAAGCCGAGTTCCAATTCCAATTGGGTTCATTATATTCACTTACGTGCAAATACATTAGGGAAAGACATGTATCCATCTCTTCTCCCACCAGATACGGGTTAATTAGTAAGACTTGTATCACTAAACTATTATTATCATGAAAGAAAAAATTCTTAGAATCTAAAAATATTTTTTGGCTTCAAATAAACTGCAAAGGATTGATAAACCGTAGTAAACAAGTCAATCAATTTTAATGTTAACTATGGTTCAGTTAAGAATGTTGAAACTATATTGCACCACAACGACATCCAAAGTGTCCATGGCTGTTATCATTATTCTATTTCCTTTGATTTCTGATGTGTACGCATTTCTTTCCGGGTTCCGACCAGAGATCTAAGGCTAGAAATTGCATCATGATATTTTCCTCTGAGCAATTTTGAAAAAAAAATCACGCATATTTCACATAGATAAAGCCCTTCGCAAGATGTGGGCTGTAATTGTGAGAACAATTTTTTTGTATTTCTTTAAAGGCATGGGCTTCCAGGAATCCCTACAATGAGTCTATTGGAATCTTTTCCAATCAATCCGAGGCTTCCAACCACAGCTGGAGTTTTTGATGTTTATTATTATTATTATTATTATTATTATTATTATCTGGGCACTTATGAAGAACTCGAGATTATCCACTTCATTATGGTATTTTTTCATGAACGGCATTATTGTCTGAGAGGCCAGTATATTAACAGCTGTTACAATAAGAGTGCACGACAAAAAGCTATACTTAAACGGTTTGAATTACAACGCGGCCAGCTGCTAGACTGACTTGCAATATTGCAGAGAACAGTCCAGACGAATTTGCAGTTTGTATCGTTTAATCAGTTTTCCTGCGTTGACGAGTTGTCACGTCTTCCTATGATTAGACACTTGAAAGCAAAGAGAGAGAGAGAGAGAGAGAGAGAGAGAGAGAGAGAGAGAGAGAGAAAACAGAATTAAAATAGGCGTACGATTGCGTCAGATTTATCGCATTTCTAGAGCCCTCTATAACGATTGCGCTCAATTGTTAGAGAAGGATTGGCGACACTTTACTGATTAGTCTACGAATGAGAGAAACGATAAAAGCGTGTTTATAGGCAGCTCAGAAGGAGAGAAAAAGAAATTAAGATTAAAGAAAGCAAGTCACTATAAAATAAAACGAATGTTAACGAAATTGTGTCACTGCGTATGGCAGATAATAAGATTTAAAAAAAATAAGCCTCTCTAGGATAGTAAGATATCTAATAAAAGGAATTAACATGTCAAGCAAAAATATTCAAATTAGCGTTGGCTCAAGACCATCTGTAACTACATAATTTGAAAATATGATACATGATCGTTCTTTAAATCTGATTTGTCTTCGTGGTGAAATGAGAGAATGCGAGAACTTAATGAGCCGCATAACTAAGCGTATCCTTCTAATTTCGATGAAAAGAATGACTAGTAGCATTAGTAAAGAACAGTATTACCTCGCTAAAGACACTGGAACAAGAAATGTAATTTTTATTATCAAAATGCTATCAGAGCGAAAAATACAAATGCGTACGGATGCGTTTTTTTTTTAATCATTGCACCAAAAATTAAAAAAAATCTACTAGGGTACACTGGGTTACAGAGAATGAAAAAAAAACAGACAGAAAAATACTCCCCCAAAAAACAAAACAAAATAAAAAAGCAAAAAAAAAAAAAACCCAAATAACAACCCCCCCCCAAAAAAAAAACAACAAGAAGAGGAATTGGGGAGAGAGAAAACGATGACATTGGACTTACATTTTTGAATATAGTAGTTGGTAGGAGAGCAGGAAGCTGGAAGAGAGTTGTACAAGCGGGAAGCGCAAAATATTAGTAGAGAAATTATGGTTCCAGCTAGTATTTTTCGGTAGTGATATGAGACCGTGTTGTCAAACTAGTACTACGCTTAAAGGCGTGAAGAGGCCGTACCAACAAGGAAAGCTTATCAGAAAAATTGACATGAAAGTATTTATAAAAGACGTAAAAAAAAGTTGTGTTACGGCGGTCGGAAAGTAACTGAAGCCGATATGCCAGGTCAAGACCGATAACTTTGGCGAATCTTGAATATTGAACTTCGTCAAGAATACCTAGATATAAAACAGAAACATCGGACCAGGTGTGACCTCAATATTTGACGCGCAGACGAATGGTTAATTTAGAAATATGCAATTAGATTCTCTAAAGAATAACTATCAAAGCGACATAGTGAACCGATTTTCCTGACGGCAGAATTGCCAATTGATTCAATATACCCTTTCCATTTCATGTTAGTGGAAAAAGTGAGATGAAGAAGGCGTAGTAAGTTGTTTTCCTGGAGGTTAGCATCAGCCATGCTGCTAGATGGCGAAAATGTTTTTAAGATGATTATTAATCATCTTAAAAACATTTTCACCATTTACCAGCATGGCTGATGCTGAGAACAGTATCGTTTTAGAGGTGTCAAAATTAACAAGCCAATTCGTGTTATACTTGATTGTAGGCAATACACTGGATCAGCTGTCAATCGCCAAAGCATTTGATACGGTACAAAACAAAGCTATACTAAGACTGCTAGGAAAACATGATTCATTTAGGATAAGATATTAGAACAATCCCAAACATTTACTAGAAACAAACTGCCTTCATACGGATAGCAAAGAGATCAAATACGCAAAAAGCTGAAAGGGTCGCGAGACAAGGATGCGTTTTCTCACCAGATGTATTCAGCGTATAAAGCGAGATAATCCTAAAAGTCTTACTATTCATAGCAAAGGTACCATGCATGACATCACTATGAAAGTCTTCTACACATGTAGGCAGTTATGCATATTTTATTATCAAGAACCTTAAGCCACATCCTCATAGTGCCTATTTAAACCGACGCCTTAACATTCACTTTCCCTTGATTTCAGTTGAATATTTAGAAAAAATTCTTCTTAAAGCTTAGCTTATAATTACTAGACATTTTTGAAACACGCTAACAAGTGTTGAAATCATCACATGTATTTAGTATTGTTGAAGTTATTTTTGACGAGATTTATAAATTCTGCGTTTTGTTTAATTTCGCGTACCAACCGATGAAATTTGAATAAGTTGATTTGTTTGGAAAAATACTTTGACAAGAAAATCTACTTCGCGGTTTAATAATTTCTTTAATTTAACTTAATTTTATAGGACTTCATGGGAAACAAAAGTTTTAAGAAAATTTTTCTTTTTAACAGGGAAGAATAAATTCTTAGGATTTCTTACTCTTGACCATGCAACATACAGCTGACCATGCGTAAATATATCTTTCTTGAGCCAAATTTCAACTTTTGAAGCGTTTCGCTTTGTAATTTGTTTACAGTTTCCGCAAACGCAGAGCGAACAGGAAAATGGATTATTTTATATAAAAACTTAAAGAAAAGATATGCAAGAACAATACTGTATTTTTATTAAATAAGTATATGTTATTTTGATCATTAAATTGTTTTTAAAATATTGAAATTATTGTGTATGTTAAATAATAAAACTTTTAAATTTTTAAAAATATTAACGAAAATTTATTGTCCTAAGCAACGAGGAAAAACCAGTTGTATTTTGTTCCCCTTACTTGCTTCTTCTTCTCCCCAAAATTTTGTTTCGCTCGGCCAAGGTATGATGTGTGACGGACGGACGGACAGACTAACAAAAGACACAGAGTTTTATATATAGATAGTTTAGATGTAGGGAAAAGGTATTTTAATACACCCTTTTCACCATAAGTCAGTAAACTTGGGTATGACGATAAATTACATCCGGCAGAAGGCCTCTGATAGAGAGATTGAAGGTTTTGAGGAACGTGGAATTACCTATTCACTTCCGTTGTTCCCATGTCAACCCTGAGATATCCAGAGTCCCAGATATGGGCAAATAGTGAACGCCCAAAACAAAAAGAAAACACTATGAAAGTATAAAAATTCATTTTTATAGCATAAAATCTCAACAATACAATTTCATATAAAATATTACCAACAATAACTTTTATAGTAAAATTACCAACAATAAAATTTCAATGCAAAATGACCAGAAATACATTTCATCCGTATTTAAAGACATATATTTAGTTGAAGCTATAAAATTGTGTTCAAGATTTAGAATTCGGCATTAAATAACCCATGGTGGTGTTGATATGCCGGTAAACGAAATCAACTAAACCAACCAAACCTTAAGTCAGAATGTTATTCCTCTGCTTTTCAAGATTGTGTGACTAAAATGATTTATTCCAAACAATATGCATATATTATTAAAAATCTACATTCTTTTCCATATTAGTACATATACGTCCGCGTGGATTATTTTTATAGAAGATATTTTTTACACTCATAATAGGCTCCAAATTTTGTAAAGAAAAAGTTAAAAAATCCTCTCCCTAAACTCCCTGGGGGATAACCCCCAGGGTTGAGTATTCCTGGTTTAAGAGGAATTGGAATACGTTAGTTGAGAACAACTAAACCATAGCGAGGCTTTCATTATTTGTTGGAGAAATAATAAAGGAAAAAAAGTAAATACGATTTAAGATAACCTAATTGATGTGAATGCGTATACGAAGATAGTAAACAGGTTGAATAATAAAATAATAAAAATAGGATACAGGACAAGATCTTTGATTAAGATGGCGTGCAATCTAAACCTGTTTTTTTTTTTTTTTTTTTTTGTAAAAAATCAAAATGCCAAGAGGAAAGGAAAAAGAAGAGAAAAATAATAAATGAGAGAACAAAATACTTCTTCCTTAATTTATTTCCTTCTTCCTCCCGCTAAAATGTGGGTTGAGATTTACATATCGGGTAATGGCTAACAAATGAGCTGGTCGGGCAGGTAGACGGCAGTCAAGAATTACGCTTGCATAAATTAGAACAGCCTTCTACCTTGATTGTCAAGTCAACAATCTCTTACTGTTGGTATTGATCAGCATCTTT